AAGAATAACTTCTGAATTGGATTTAGTTGCTTCCAATTTGTGTAAAGATATTGAACTTTTTAAATTAATCAAAAACAAAATAAATATCTGAGCAAAATCTTTCAAAGATTCGTTTACAGATTTTGGGTCAGAGATTTCTTTAAGCTACAGGTTTATTGAAGTTACCAATGCAATTCTATCTAGTGTGAACGCAATCTACTTGTTATCTTTCATAATCCCCTAAAGATAACAAACTTTGTGTCAGAGAAGTTCTCCAGTTCCTACGCTCTGTTTCAACGCGTGTCTTCCACTTTCTTCATTTTTGGTATTCAGCTAATTTCACCTTTTTTCTTTGTTTTTTGGCTAATTAGCTCTTTATTTATTTATATAATTAATGAATTGATTAAAAATACTTTTTTTTGGGGATAGAACAACGCGAATAAACCTCTCACGCAACGCAAACACACAAAACAAAACTCTTTCTTCCTTAGGGGACTGTCTCTTTCTCTTATCTTAAGCAATAAGCAGTCATCGATGGCTTCCCACGCTTCGAATCTATGGGCTCTTCTAGGTTTAGGCATCGCTGGGATCCTCTTGGCTGCTAAGAAGCTCAAGAAGACAATCCGTGAAGATTTCGGAGCCTTTATGGACAAGCTCTTGCTCCTCCCTCCGCCGCAGCCTGCTCCTCCCAAAGCTCCTCACCCTCTCACCGGTCTCTCTTTCGCCATCTCCGACGTGTAAGTCACCGTATACACACTCGTTTCCACCTCCTCCTCTCGACTCCATTTGTCTACAATTTTGGTTACGAATTAGGTGGAGAATCTTTGTTTGCTGAATAGTCAAACTGCGTTGACTCCGTATTATATATTTCTATTCGTGAAGTTAGTATAGTTGATTCATTTGGAGCAATGTTTCTGAAAGGTTGCTTTCTTGCTTGTCGTAGATTCAAATGTGACCTTTGGAGATAAGATGAGGTTGTTGAGAGTGTTTTGGTTTCTACTGATCCATGGCCTCCTTTTTAGAAACACTATGAGTATAGGTTATTAGATTTGTAAAAAAAATTTTATCTAATTTTATGTTTTATTCTTTGGTGTGATATTTTTGAATTTCAATCAAGGGTTCAAGATGCTAAAGTTTTCTCATTCTTATTTGTTTTACAGATTCGATGTTACAGGCAACGTGACTGGATTTGGTCATCCAGATTGGGTCAGGACGCATGAAGCTGCGTCTTCAACTTGTCCTGTGGTTTCTACTCTCGTTGAAGGTGGAGCCACTTGCGTTGGCAAAACTGTTGTTGATGAACTTGCCTTTGGGTTTGTCTCTCTTTTCGATTACTTATGTATATCGAATTTCAGAAAAAAAGGACATGTTGTTTGTGATTCCAATGTGACATTTCTGTTTCATAATTGTGGCTCAAGTATTTTGATTCCTTTGTTTTGTTTGCTTCAGTATTAGTGGAGAAAACAAGCATTACGAGTCTCCCACAAATCCTGCTTCTCATGATCGTATTACTGGTGGCGCTTGCAGTGGAGCTGCTGTTGCCGTAGCTACTAACGCTGTGGATTTTGCGTTAGGTGAGTTCTGTATATACTTTTTTTCCTTGCTAGGACAACATTATGAATTGTTGAGGACCGTTTCAGGATGCTCCTAAAGGAATCTCACATGTTTTTTGAGGACACTAAACATGGTTGACAGTCATATTATCCTGAAACGGTCCTCAGATTGTTTAGTATTGGTATGACACATCAAAGCTGCCACCATTTGCATTTTTAAACATACAAGCAATTCTGCGTTCATTTTGCTTTCATGATAGGGAAGACTTAGAATGGGTTGTTGAATCACTGAACCATAACACACGCTTTCATAAACTTCGAGTTACAGTAGAGAATCCAAGAGAGAATCACACGCCAACTGTTTTGTACACGCATAATTAATATATTATAGTGTAACAGCTCACTTTTAGCTGATTTGCCTCTAATAGAATTGCTTTTTTAAAGCCTCTTATTAGTAGATAGTTTCGTACGAATCTATCTGATAGTCTGTTCATTGGTCCCTCCCATCAATCTCCAACCGTTTACTGGTTCTGGTTCAGTTTTCTTAAGAATATGATCTGATGACTTGCATCATTGCAGGCATCGACACAGTTGGCGGGGTAAGAGTGCCTGCTGGATACTGTGGCGTTCTTGGATTCAGATCTTCACATGGGGCCATTTCAAACACAGGGATCATACCAGTATCTTCTAGTCTTGACTCTATTGGTACGGATACATATACATGTGTGGTTTTTACCTTTGTGGTAGAATAACTTGAATCTTATATATACTAGGTTGTGATTGTTATATACTTATATTGCAAGATGACAATTTACATCTAGCGCTATTATATGAACATTAGGTTGATTCTGATCAATAGATATTGCCTTCAGGATGGTTTGCACGCGATCCAAACACCCTACGTCGCGTTGGCCATGTACTCTTGCAACTTCCATTTGCCACACAACGGAATCCAAGGCAAATCATAGTGGCTGATGACTATTTTAAGCTGTTAAAGATCCCTGTAGACCGGATTGCACAGGTGGTGATCAAATCAGCTGAAAAGCTCTTTGGAAGTATGCCTTTTGCTCTTCTTGAAGTACCTCCGTCTCTGGCATATGTCCTGATTATAAACGAGATTTACCTTTGTTTTATTTTCAGGACAATCGCTGAAGCATCAGAACCTGGATAACTATTTTGAATCTAAAGTTCCTAGCTTGAAAGAGTTCACTAGGACCAAAGCCATTGCTAACACAAACGTCCCAACATCAAGACTGCTGGCAAATGTGATGCAGCTTCTTCAAAGGTGTGCCTGTTGTTTATTCACCATCAGAGAATGAGAGAATCTCGATTTTGAACTCTTAACGATCTTGACTTGCATTGCAGGCACGAATTTCTTCGAAACCATGGGGATTGGATCAATACAGTGAAGCCAGCTCTTGATCCTGTGATCTCTTCACAAGTGTCTGAGAACGCAGAACTAACCAATGAAGAGATGGAGAATCTGAATACAATCAGAAACCAGACACGATTCGCTATTAATTCACTTCTCAAGGTATTCTCCGCTCTTCCATGCTATCTCCACAGCTTGAGCTACTTGGTTTACGTGTGTCTTGACTATGCCTAAGTGTGTTTGTTCCCATGCTTCAAGGACGATGGCCTTCTGGTTATCCCAACAATGCCAACTGCTCCTCCAAAACTTGGTAGCAAAGAGATAAACTCCGAAGACTACCAAAACCGAGCTTCCGGTCTACTTAGCATTGCTAGCATATCAGGCTGTTGTCAGGTTAGATCTCACTTTCTTGTTTGCTCAATTCCAGTAAAAATGATGGTAAATGGTATCTGTGCCCTCAATTAAATCAACAACAAAGCGATCACTTATATGTCTTTGAACCTGTATTGGTCTGATAATTTAGGTGACTGTGCCACTGGGACATCACGAGAAGAGCCCTGTTTCAGTTTCTTTCATAGCAAGACATGGTGGCGACCGCTTTTTACTAGATACAGTGCAGACAATGTATGCATCTTTACAAGAGAACTCCAGCGTTATTTCCGATCCCAAATCATCTAAAAAGATAATCAGCCAAGAAGAGTCAGCTGAAATTGCCAAAGAGAAGGTCAATTAATTTCTCAATACTGGTCTCATTTTTATGCATTGTCCTCTTTTGGTGTGGTTCTCATGTGTTATTTTGTAAAACCAGGGTAACCAAGCATTCAAAGAGAAACAATGGCAGAAAGCTATCGGTCTATACTCAGAAGCTATCAAGCTAAGTGACAACAATGCTACTTATTACAGTAACAGAGCTGCTGCATATCTTGAAATTGGAAGGTAAGTTTTTTCTCTGCTCCTAGACAACCCTTATAAGTGAGATCTTTTTTATGTGACATTTGCTTGATAAAACCCCATACATTACAGCTTTCTTCTAGCCGAAGAAGACTGTACCAAAGCCATCGCTCTCGACAAGAAGGTAACTTTCTTTAAACACTAGAGCTCAGCTAGTAATAACACTCTTTGCCTTGAATCTCAACAGAATGTTTCCTTTTTGGTTCAGAATGTGAAAGCTTATTTACGAAGAGGAACCGCAAGGGAAATGTTAGGCGCTTACAAGGAAGCCATAGATGGTAAGCTTTAAACAACCAATATCTGATTCGTAAAAAAAAAAACAAGATTGACACTCGAAGTTTTTTTTTTTTTTAATATCTGCAGATTTCAGACACGCACTTGTGTTGGAACCAAACAACAAGCGAGCGTCTCTATCAGCCGAGAGACTACGAAAGTTGTTTCAGTGAAGCCTTCTTTGCTTGTCCGTACTGATAGTATATGAAATGTATCCAAGAGTATATGCCAATTTTGTTACAATCCTCGCATATTTAGGCACTTTATTTATAGATATATACACTGTGCGAGTCTTGGCCGAAAATGGAATCAAAATATTACGTTGGAACGGAGTTTTACCATCCCACTAAAATTGGGTTTCGAAAAACCTAACGTTCATCGTAAACACCGGATACCGAAACTCCCGGTTGTCTTTCTGTTCATTGTGAAATTAGGTCATGTCTTTAATTGTATCGTCTTAGTCCATTTCTTTCACTGCACGTTATCTTCCCCCTCGTAAACGCTTCTCTCGAAGGAAGGCAGAGATAAGAGGAGGAGGAAAGATAACAAAGAGGCTTTTGCTGTTTCTCTTTTTCAATAAAAACTTAAACGAAACTGTCGGAGATATTAAAAAGAAACAAATTGATATTTTCATCACGGTGAGTTTTAATGTTTGATACTTTAATTTATTTTAGCTTGGGATAGTATTTTGGCAATTGGCGATTTTCACCGGTTTCGTGATCTTTTTGGTTTTGGACAAATGCCACTTTCTCGAAAATCTTGGGTTTTGTCTCTCAGACACAATTGTGATATAAACGTGTGTTTTGCAGTTGAAGCTTGATAAAAGATCGTAGAGAGTTAGCAATATATCAAAGAGAATTAATCAAAGGCAAATGACCACGACGGATCCGGAAAAGACAAGCTCATTAATGGATAATCTCTTGGGACTACTTAGAATCCGCATCAAACGTGGCGTCAATCTCGCCGTCCGTGACATCAATAGCAGCGACCCTTACGTCGTCATCAAAATGGGCAAACAGGTTACTTATATGTTACAAATTTCACAAAATATTCATACGTGCATATATTCAACTTGTTTTTTTTTTGTTGCAGAAATTGAAGACTCGTGTTATCAACAAAGACATCAATCCAGAATGGAATGAAGATCTGACTCTCTCCGTCACAGACCCCAGTCTTACCGTCCTCTTGGTATATTATTCATAATCATATTTTATAATTTATGATTATGTACCATGTGTAAATATGGTTTGGTATGTAGACGGTGTACGACCACGACATGTTTAGCAAGGACGACAAGATGGGTGATGCAGAGTTCGAGATAAAGCCGTTTATTGAGGCTTTAAAGATGCACCTTGACGGTCTTCCTAGTGGAACTATTGTCACCACGGTTCAGCCGTGTCGTCGCAACTGTCTAGCTGAGGAGTCTAAAGTCACTTGGGTCGACGGTAAGCTCGTCCAGGATCTCGTTCTCAGGTTAAGACACGTCGAATGTGGAGAGGTCGAGGCTCAGCTTCAGTGGATTGACCTCCCTGGCTCCAAGGGTCTATGAATTTTTTTTTCTTTTATTAATTACCGCGTTACTTTTTTTGAGGTTATTTTTCAAATTGAAATGAAAAACAAGAACAGAACCATCTTGAAGTAGAAAACGCGTATTAAGAAACGCTGAGGGATGTTTTGTTCCAATCTGGTGATCAAGTCGTATATATTGTCCATGTAGCTATGTGCCTCGAGTAAAAGCGTTGATTAACACGAACAACTGATTTTATGTACATGTGTTTTTATTTAGTTATAAATACGCATATTGTGGTGCTTGTTTGTTCATATATTTTTCATGAGTTCGGTAATATAAATCAAAAGAACAGAACGTAATCCAAACTCAGGGATAATCGTAATACATAAACGTTTTGATAGCATTAAACCCCATATGGCACCATTGACATTGGTAGGCATTTTTTCAACCGTTGGTATCAGAAGTTAATGCTTATACGGACTTAGATTCTGAAACACACCACATGTAATTAACTTTAGTGAGCAAGTTTCACCTCTAAAGTAACCCTGGATCTTGTGAAGAAGTAGGAAAAATGGTCGAAGTGAAAAGAGCCAACCAAGATATTAGGTGAAGAGAATCCAGGTGTACTATAGTGAGTGATCCACCATCGTTAAACACGACACAACACGTGAATCCATTGTTGTCCTTTTATACGACGTGTCGCGATGATGACAAGCCGTAGTGTGTCAAGTGGCCGTGCTAAGACTGAAGCGTCTTCTTGTTATTTGTGAAAAAGATAAAAGAGATTCGACTAAGTCTACTTTTCTCGCTTATTTATTAGTTTGATAGATCCCAATGGACCCGAATTACGTTTCTCGATGAGCGATCTAGAGATTCCCTTCCACCAACTCCCCCAAATTACTCAAGTTAGATTTAACAAAACTTTTTTTCTGTGTTTAATTTTTTCCTGAAACTCATTTCCAAGAAACTTACATTCATATTCTTCAAAAAACGCTATGTTCTGAATTTTGGTAATTAACGTTTTTAGGCAATGCCTATTAGTTTGGGGTTTCCATTTTTTTTTCCTTTTGAACAGATAGACCACATTTGCATTCCAACACTAGATATTTGTCAGTAAATCGTGACAAAAAAAAAACACTAGATATTTGTCCAAAAAATGATTGTGCAAGAGTCCCACCAATAATGCACACATCCACCAAAGGGTAACATAATCCATAACTTCATTCATTTCCTACATGCTCGTCTCGCCATCATCCATTTCCAAGCTGATTTTTATTTTTTTCTCAAGTCACCCACTTAAGCAATTTTTTTTGGGTACGAATTAGTAAATTTAAAATTACCACTTTAATATACTTAATATATGGTGTTAATTCAAATATGTGAGAATATTGTTTTTGAATGAAAATACATAAAATGTAATGTATTTAAATGCAAACATATCAGCGCGCGCGCACACACACACACACATATATATATATATATATATATATATATATATATATATTACAATGTCAGTTTAACATTTTCATTTTTATGCCCTAAAATCACTTAAAATTTCATACCTTTATTTTTTATGTAATTTTTAGTGTCCTATATATATAACTAAACCTATCATTTAAAATTATGATGTTCCAAACGGTCGTTTACTTTGTTTGTGATCCGGATCGACAATATATAGAGTATATAGTGAAACATATTAGCCACAATATTTGTAACTCAGAGTTGTTGCTATATCGACAATATATAGACTTGAACTAGGGCTGGACACGAGACAAACACTCAGAATTTTTGCTATATTTGTAACTCGTCCTGTTCGAATATTAAAAAATTTGTCTTGTATTTGCTAATAGTAAGTACTTGCCTACATCGTAGTTAAATTTAAATATGTAAAAAAATGTGTTGAATGAAAATCTATTATATTTAAACTAGGGCTGGCCCGGACTACGCCCGGGTTTTTAGTTTAAATTTTAATTATATATGTTGTATGTTATTTTGATATATAAATATTATAATCTATTATAAAATATAGGTAGTTAGACAATTATATAGTTATTTTTAATTATTTATTCTTATTAGTCTTTCGAATTTTAAAATTTTAATATGAAAATTTTGTATGTCATAGATTATCGGTATGTGTTTTGCATGGAATTTGTGTATCGTGGCTCGTTTCGACTTTTCTTTCTTTATTTGTTGTGTGTTATTATTTTATTTTCAATTCTTTTGTAAAAATTGTTTTGGTTATTTACTATTCATTGTTGAATTTTTTTATAATTATTCTAAGTTTGATCTTATTTACCTAAAATCGAAAGAAAATTTAGTGTGTGCATTTATTTTTCCTTAGGTTTGATGAAACGTAAAAGAAAACAATATGATAATAGATTTTTCGTCTTTTAAAACTTATAGACTTCTTTATTTATTTTGAATATATTTAAGTATTTTGTAACTTTTACTTAACTATTAAATCTTTATTAAACTTTTCACTAAATGATTATTTTTTTAACAAAACGATTAATTTCAGTTTTTTTTGTTTCATTAAAAATAAAATATTAGTTATAATGATTTAGAAGTTATTAAATTGTTTGAAAGTTTCGGTGGCTGTATTTAGGGTTCACTTCATGTTTGTTTGGGACATGTTATACGGATTAGTATGATATAGTTGTGTATTTTTTCAAGTTTTATTCTCGAGCCTATGGTATTATGTGCAAATGTTTCTCCAACTTATTCTTAAAAACTATCAATCAAGTGGAAATATATTTACTCCCATTTACTTTTTTTATTACTGTTTCAAAAGAGATAAACGCACACTCATCGCTGTGCTAGATATAGTGAACGTAACAATATTTTCTCATTTTTCTTCTCTTTTTCATTTTATTTTTTCTGATTCAATTTCATCAGAAAAAACTGTGAGATCTTAGCGGCCATTGAAGTGGTGTTATGAGGTGAAAGATTATAACACATGATGGTGTTCGGCTAATGACATATTATTTTGTCAGGTTATATTCCTGATATTCAAATTTATTTTGTCTTCATTTTGTGTGTATTCGTTTCAAGATAATTGATTTTTATTTAGGGTTTACTTTGTCTATAATAAAATGAATGACATGTTCATTTAAACATTTCACAATCTCTATCAAAATTTGATGTCCATTTATATTTTGGACATTTTTATTTTTATCTACTGTCAAACATATTTTCTAATATTATATTATTTTTAGTATTATAATGTTTTATGTTTTGTTTGTTTTTCATAAAAGCACATAGTTATTTTTATGTGCCCGATTAATTTTTTACGCAGTTATTGATATAAGTTTAGTGTGTATACAAATTATTTTTAACAACAACATACAATATAATTTATGAGAGAATCTTTGTATTTGTGTGATGTATTTATTCCTTTTGATTTAGTTTATATTCTATTTTTTTTTCATGTATATTTAATGCATATTAATTCATAATGTGCTACTATTAAAAATCTAGTGATACACACACACACATACACACACATATATATATATATATATATAATTAGTGAGTATCTGAATTTTCTTAATATATTGAAAATAAGAATAACATCAAATTTTACTATTTATATTTTTTAATTTCTAACATTTGTCAATGTTGATAAAAAAATATCTAAGAATATAATTATGGATTATTTTCAGTCAATTTATGTGGGAATCATTGTATTTGTTTGATGTGTTTATTCTTTTTGATTTAGTTTGTATTCTTATTTCTTCCTTGTATATTTAATGCATATTAATTTCTAATGTGCTACTATTAAAAATTTAGTCATATACACACATAAAAAATATACATATACATATATATATATATTAAAATTTAGTGAGTATATGATTTTTTAATTTATTGAAAATAAAAATAACATTAAATTTCACTATTTTTTATTTTATTAATAAAATTTTTCACTATTTATATTTTGTTATTTTATTATATCAGTAAATTCTAACATTTATCATTATTTCTTCCTTGTATATTTAATGCATATTAATTTCTAATGTGCTACTATTAAAAATTTAGTCATATACACACATAAAAAAAATAATATATATATATATTCAAATTTAGTGAGTATCTGATTTTTTAATTTATTGAAAATAAAAATAACATTAAATTTCACTATTTTTTTATTTTATTAATAACATTTTTAACTATTTATATTTTGTTATTTTATTATATCAGTAAATTCTAACATTTGTCAATGTTGATAAAATAAAATATCTAAGAATATTATATCAGTAAATTCTAACATTTTTTCACTATTTATATTTTGTTATTTTGTTATATCAATAAATTCTAATATTTGTCAATGTTGATAAAATAAAATATCTAAGAATATAAATTATGGATTATTTTCAGCCTTATATTTTTTTTTGAATTCATGGATACTATTATTTTTTTAATATATACATTTATCTCAAAATAAAGATTCATACTTCTTAAAAAAAAATTGATAAATGCAATCACATAAATTAAACCTTGGTTAATATTAAACATTATTTTTTGTAATAATAATTTTGAATGCTATGTGTCATTTTCTCTTCATCCTCTTTAGTGACATGGCATCACAAAAGGGAAGAAAACTCTTCTTTATATAATAAGATGTAGACATATCATATACAGTTTATACAGTAGTTAACAAAAAAATACAGTACTTAATATTAGCCATTACATAAAGACTAACATTACATTTACTACAGTTTACACGTAGGTTTTGACCAAAGAGTGTTTTGGTTCAATTTATAACCGCGTCTATTGTTTTTTTTTATTTACATTCAGCCAGTAAAAGTGAGCCAACCTCGAAAACGACGCCACCGTTTTCCCTATAAAATCGGGCGTGCAGTTAGCCACTCTCTCACCCACAAAAACCTCAAACATCTTTCTTTCTATCTCTGAGATCACAGCAAGCACACAAAAAAAAACATTGTTTCCCCGAGTAGACATTGTGAATTGATGCAGCAGAGAGGCCGATCCGTCAACCGTAGATCAAGAAGCTTCTCTCGTTCCAGACTCGCCGTTGA